TTCCCAGTCCACGTAAATGTAGTATTGTTTCAATCAGCACTACATTAATGCACATTAGGGAATCTTTAGTGTGCATCAACAGGGATCAATTAATGCACATGTTTGTGCATTTTAGAAATCACACTCTGTAGTCCACCTCTGCTCCATGTAGACAAGCCCTTAGGTACAATTACCAAAGCACTATTTCTCCAATGTTTATGGGATAAACACTGATTTCATTTTTGTAGTATCAGGGATGTTTTATCAGTGTTTATTGGTTACAACTAAAAATCAGAAGCCCTGGGTATTGTATACTGCTAGGCTTAGCAGAATTTGATTTTTACCTTATGATTTCAACTGTAAGCATTTTTTCTATTTTTATCAATTTAAAGTTTCTCAGTTGCAGACAATAGTGGGGGTCAGACAATTACTTAATGATATATGCTGAGATTCAAAAAGTTAAAACTTTATAACCATTAAAACACAAGTGGTCAACAGAATGTCAAAATATACAAAATAAGTTCCTTAAATCAAACTAAGTTCCTCAAGCAGCATTTTTCTAATTTTGTCTATCTGTAATTTTTCATACTCATCAATGGAAATATTTTTCACCAGTATATGTGTACGGTATAATTTACATTTACCAATAAAAATGGAATCCTTCCAAGCCTATATATTGCACATTGGATTATTTGTCTTCCAGTTAAAATATTATCGTTGTTTAAGAATGTTTTAAAAGATAAAATATGAATACATGGAAACTGTATATGAGAATACTAGTAAGATATTTTTATTTTTAAAACTATGTCATGCTTGATTTTCAGTTAACTTTCTTGTAGTTATTGCTATTCTATGAACTGTAATCTGTTTACAGAATACCTATCTAAAGGCAGTCTTTGCGTTCTGTAATAGATCCTTTAAATAATGAAAAATATATTTTAAAAGGTCTTGCAATCAGTTTTCAAAGGGAGGGAATGGCTTCTTTCAATACAACAACACTGCCTCTCACCAACAAAGAAAGATGGCCAATAATGCGAACCCCAAGCATGAGTTGGGCCTCCCAAAATCACGAGATTTTAAAAGTAATAATAAAGATTGGATTAGTTTTACACCTCTACCCCGATATAACACGGTAAAGCGGTGCTCTAGGGGGCTGGGGCTTTGCACTCCGGCGGATCAAAACAAGTTCGATATAACGTGGTTTCACCTATAACGCGGTAAGATTTTTTTGGCTCCCGAGGACAGCGTTATATCGAGGTAGAGGTGTATTTGCTTTCAGGTTTTGAGCCTTTAGGTTTCACGTTTTCAAGTTTTTCTTCTCATGTGAAGTAGAAACTTACTTTTTTTAAATTAACGCTGAGATTCTTTCATAATCAATCACCAGATATTGTGAGACTCATGATAAAAATCACAAAAGTTGGCAACACTGCACAGTATTAGTTTTGACATAAGCACTTCAATTTTGTTGGCTGAAAGACAGATGTTGGGCAGTGGAGGTGTGTTACCCAAAACTGAGAGATAAAGAGGAAAAAAGAGATCATAAATATTGCTGGAATAGCTATGTGGTGAAAAATCTTATCCTTACCTCTGCCAGGACCTTGATTTGTTTTTGAGACACATCATATGTATCCAGACTTTGAAGCTGAGGCATATGATACAGCACATGTGTAGCATAATTACAGAGAAGACAAATAGGGTTCGGGTCATACTGAGGATCATTCAGACTCAAATCTTTTAAATGCGGTAGGCTTGCTAAATTAGAGAGTTCCTGGAAAAACAATGAAAATACTAAATCAACAACATGTTGGTGGTTCTTATTTCAAAACATCTGCATTTCAGCATGAAGGCAGGTCATTACTTTTAATTATTAAGAGGATATATGCAACAGCAGAGGGGGCAAAATCAAACAGATCTGGGGTAGTATTAAAGGCAGGAGTATCGTTCTCCTCTTCCCCCAGCCCCGGAGAAGCAACCCTGCAGGGACTCTATTGGGATCCAGCTCCATACAATGGGGAGAGACAAGTAGGAACTGTGGAGTGGTCATTCTCTCTGGCAGCATATCCCCCAAATCTGTGAATTTTAGCAGGGAATAAACCCTGTAACATTAACTTACCTGTTTTTTCCCTTGATGTTGCGACATCACCTACCTAGGATCTTCAGAGGTGGGGGGGGGCCACAGTTGTGACCCCTGGTGGACAAAGTCCAAGCTCTAGCAGGCTGCCCCATCCCCTCCACAAAGAAGCAAGTTCACTATTTCTTGGGATTAGCGGGGTACTGTCAGCGATTCATTCCAAACTTTGCTACCATTGCTGCCCCTTTGACAGACTTGCTCAAAAGACCTGCACCCAAAAGGGTCCATTGGACCAAAAACTATGACAAAACATTTAGAACAGTGGATCTCAAACTAGGGCCACCGCTTGTTCAGTGAAAGGCCCAGGAAGGCCAGGCCGGTTTGTTTACCTGCGGACGCGGAAGGTAAACAAACCAGCCTAGCCCGCCAGGGCCTTTCACTGAACAAGCGGCGGCCCTAGTTTGAGAACCACTGATTTAGAACACTACAAGACCAGCTGATCCAGGAACCAGTGCATTCCACTCAGATTTCTCAAAGCCAGTTCTCCTGCAAACAGACATGTCTGAGGTCATGCTTGGAACTGTGCTATCTCAAGATGGAGAGGAAGCTTAAAAGGGAGCAACTCAGCTCAGAACAGGGAGGAAGTCAGACCTACCCTAAGGGCTCCTGAACAACAGTGCCAAAAAAGCCTCCCTGTGAGAAAGAAGACTGCCTGCTCAGCCTGGTTGAAGCTGAAGGTTTAGTTGTCTTTTCTTTTGCTATCTTATATTGGACTTGGAGACACTGGGGGAGATGGATGGTAGGAAGTGACCCAGGGAGGTAGCTTTGGGTGCACTCCAGAGTACCTGACACTGTTGTCTCTCATAGAGCCCCGGATTGGAGCCCGGTGGATTGGGAGGGCCTGGGCTCCCCTACCAACTGCCCTTTGTTGCGGGGGCATAAGCCTCGTTTCCACTGCATCCCACCACCCTGTTGTGAGGATAGCATAAGGACTCTGAAAACCCTGAGGTGAGAATAAGTCACATACAAGGGTTTGGAACTGGACTGAAAGCCCTTCCCACCGGGAGGTGAGAGACTGGAAACTGGATGTGCTACCCACTAGACTACCTGGCCCTCTGAGGACTATTACATGTCCTGTCCCCTCCAACATGTCCCTGTCCCAATCCTGTCTCTTCCCCATCCCTAGCTCCTTTAGTCCCATTCTCCTCACCTACTAGTCTTATTCTCCACCCAGGCTTCTCATCCCAGTTTCCTCCCACTCCAGGCTCTCTTTCCTAGTCGCAGTCCCCTTACCTTCTGAGTCCGACCCCCACTCTCAGTCCCCTTACCCCGTGCCAGTTCCCCAGAACTTCAATAGGTACAATGACACACCCTTCCAGTAGAGCCTGCAGTGACTCATCCGTCAGGCATTCTGCAGCAGCCTATCCCTGGGCAGGGCCCAGGTCAGATGAATCCCTTCAGGCACAGGAATTTCACTCTCACTGCCAGAGCTGCAAGTTAGTCTGTGCAACAGCACCACTCATCTAGGAACCCTCCTGCTGCCTTGCAGTGTTACAGACGCCCTAGGTTTCCAGCCTGTCCTCAATCCTGTCCCAGTCCAAGCCATGTTCCAGCCTGCTTCAGCCTTGTTTGGGCCGTTTTAACCTTGCTCCAGCCCTGCACCCACCTCCTGACCCTCAGACTGACTCCAACCCAGCATCAGTCTTTGGCCTGCTTCTGGACTCTGACTAAGATCCTGATTTGGCTTGTCTATGAATTCTGACCCAGGGCTTGTCCCCGGGCCCCAGTTTCAGCACTGCCCTTGGCCCAGCCTCAGCTCTACATCTGGTTCAACCCTTGGTACCTGTCTTCGACCACCACTCCAACCACCAGGACTGATCAATTAGAATCCAGAGCCTGATTGTTACTGAGACTGAGGTGACAATTAAAAGAACATAAAAATGAAATGTGAAGCCTCAACATACCTTGAAGGAACATATTCTGTTACCAGAGAGGTTTAATCTTTCCAATTGTTCATTGGGGTCAAAGCAAGTTCCTAAAATAAAACACAAGGACAAACGTAATTAAAGAGAACATGGTTGCACCTACTGTTCTTGGTGAAGTACACATTTTCATCAGACATGTACATTTTAACCACAGACTATAATTGCACAAGATTATAATTCATTATTACAAGTGAATAAAGCTTATGCGGAGCAACCTTTTCTTTTTCCACTCAAAACCAAAGCTAACAAAAAAGAATGTGAGAAAAGTTAGTAGATTTACTAGTTCCTGTTTAAAAAAATATATATAGTGCCTGATTCTACTCTCACTTAAGTCAATAAAGACCTGATTCTCATATACACTAGAGCCCATTTACCCTACTCAGGCAGTATAAAGGAGCCATAAAGTGGGTGCACATTCCATTGATATCCATTGTAAGGCTCTTTTAGACAGTCAAAAGAGTGTTAAAGGGCTTTAATGTAAATGAGAATTAGGCCAGGAGAGTTTTGCCACTGGTTTCAGTAGGAGTGGCAATGGGCATACAGGGCTTGATTCTGCACCATTCAAGTCAATAGGTGTTTTCCGTGGATTTGAATGGGAGCAGAATCAAGTCCATATACAGATTTCACAGCAGTAAGAATTACTATGCAGAAATGCCAGGTGTCAAGTAAATATCACCTACCAATTTTATGTATTAAGTTTCCAGCCAGATTGAGCTCCTTTAAATTCTGCAGAGTGTGCAATCCCTGTAAATATTTGAAAAGGTAAAGTTTCAGCCTAATACAATATTGCAAATAATGAAGTTCCTATAGACTAAACATCGGAAGGCAGATCATTCCAATGTAAGAATAATTTGGTAAGGGTTTAGTCACATTTTTATTCAACAATATTAGTTTTTATTGTAAGCTTCATTTTGTTCTGGCATGTAAATAGACAATGAATGCTGCTCAAAATGAATTACTTTGGATAGCCTTGTAATTTATACTAAAATTAAAAATAAACGTAGTCTGTCAGCTCTTTAGCTTCACAACTGATAATCAAAAACCTAACAGAATGATGCCCCATGTCATGGGTATTCACTAACTTTTGGCTTCAGCCCATATCTCAGCCTTGGGACATTACAGTGGAATGCAGTAGTGATGTCAATCATTTCTGTGTGTGATGGAGATCATAATGTCCTGGGATGAGATGCTAGCGTTATTTATTGTGACCCATCTAATAAATAACAATGTTAATGTATTGTCTCCTTTCATTTTGTTCTTCCTGAGCCCTAACTCTTCAGTCACTACTTTCTCTCTCATTTTCCACAGCACTAATCTCCCCTTCTTCTTATCTTATCCTCTATTTTATCATTCCCTACTCCTATCCTCTGCCACTGTAATCTCTCCAGTATTCTATTATCTATCCATTCCCATCAGCCTTTCCTCTTTCTCCATTAATGTCCATGAATAGATTGGGTTTAAATGGAATCTAGAGCTACCAAAAAAGTGGGTTGTCTTAGACTCCAGATCAGCCCCATTCTTCCTCTCATTAGGATTCACACCTGTTTTCCTTCCACTTTTCATGCAATCTCCTATGGCCAGGGTACTTCAACATGCATCAACCAGCACCAGTGAGTTGTGTGCTGTGCTGCCACTTTACTCCTCTACCTCAGAATTTCTGTTTCCTGTGAAGCTCTCTGAACATAGTATCCAAATTCCAAGTCCTGGTTTAATCTGCCCTTGTCAATTTCTTCCTTCTCTCTAAACCTTCATCTTAGCCTAGAATCTCCCTCCTTTTGCTGTTTCTCACACGCATATGACGATGGGGATTGAGACTCATCTCTTCTCTCCACCTTGGGGGAGACAGGCAGGTGTGTCCTCTT